CGCTGACATTTAAGTGAAAGTCGGATCTTCACGATAAAAATGTCGCGCTCTCCCACTGCCTAAGTTGCATACGCAGTATTGACCTTGGGTTCCATTCGATGAAACGAGTCGGGGTTCAAGGCAGCGCATAACTTGGAAGCCGGTAGATTAGGAGTGATTGGAAATGGCCGGGAATGCGCTTGTTGCTGGTCAGCGATCGGCCCCTGGCAACATGTGGCATGTGGTGCCCTTCCTTTTTTCCCTCTCTTGTGCGGCGTGCCGGACCAACCGACAAATGCGGTCAATCTTATCTGGTTTTTCTGACGTCCCCCGTCTGCCGCTAGTGGGCTTCACCACCGATCGCGAAAGCCATTGCGTCCAAATAATATCCAGTCGACAGAAGCACTCCGGGCAGCCATCACGATTTTGGTCGTTTCAATCCTTTTCATCTTATATGTTCCCTTGAGAGCAATCGTGGAAAGCTGTGCGCGATGCTGAAATGTGGGCGCTCGATTGACTCGTGAACGAACTGCTTGTATTTCCGACCAAGGTAGCCACACGTAGCTAAGGGTGGGATTCGATATCGTGGACATTGCTGAGAAACCCAGCAAATGGAATGGCAGGATATCCCCATCGCCAGAGAGAGAGCATTCGATGGCGACAAAGGGGGTAAATGGATTTTTGGCTCATAAGAAGAAAGACGTGGCCCATTCGTCGTTCGGCTCCAGGGCTGCACAATCCAGACTTAGATTGGAAGCAGCTGCTTGTACGCCTTGTGGGTGTACACACCCGTTGTCGATTGCACACCACGGAGAACTCCTCACCTCATTAGTCGCGCTCGCCGAGGCTGGCCCCCCGTTTGTTTCGCGCGATGCGGTCGCTGCCGCCGATGGCTTGCGGCGCGGTCGTGGCCCAAGCTGTGAAAGCACCAACTTCACTCCGCAGTATCTCTGCTAGAGACAAAAGCAAGTAGTGCCCTTTTGTTTCACTCTTCAAATAAAACTGATTTGAAGGTCCTGACACCGATTGTGTAAAACCTTCAAAACAAGTGTCTTGGAGGTGAGAGAACGAGAGAGAAAGGTTCCTCCAGGTCTCCCATCATCGTTGGGATAAGGTACGTTCGAGTTGTCTTAGGTAAGGTAGTGCCGCAACTCCTGGAATGGTGGAGGAAGGATACGTACCTCTTAGTCGTCTGCCAGCGGTCCCTTGCGGCTCCACTCCGACGTCCAAGTCGGTACGTATCCGTTGGGATACATGACCATGTACTACGTACCTTACCTGTCTCCCCACGACGCCTTAAACCTCAGCGCGCTGAGTCTCCGTGCCAGGAGGGAATGGGTCGAGCTGGCTTGTGGTTTGAACTTTGAAACACATCGTAGTATTGTTTGCGCTGATGTGTCTTCAAACCGGACGGTCGCCAGAAACGTCAATAGGATATTGCACTCGCCTAAGAACAAGTCCCGAGAATGCGGGAGCGGGACCCAGTGTGCCTCGATCTCATCTGTAGTCCTCAAGTGCTCTGTGTGGTGGTGCGCGCGCCTTGCCTCGGAAGCTGGGCGGGCAACGGTCGGCATCTGACTGCTCTGTCGATGCAGCTCTCGCTCTGCTGATTGAAACTGTCGCTCTTTACCTCTCATTGATTCTCAGACGGGAAACTTGGTTGCATGGCTTGGGCGACCCGCCATTTCATATGAGAACGTTACAGTGTCAGACGGTAACTCAGAGTGTAGGTTTCCCAAGAAGCTAAAGACCGATGCAAACATGGTCGAGGCCCAAGGCTGATCTGCCACCAACAACGTGCCGTATCCGCACAGCTCACGTGCAAAAATCCATGTCATTTGATTCCGCAGAATAGTGATTATTAGGAAGATATTGACGATGTGGAATTGCACCCATCAGAAGCATCAGCTGTGTCTCGACTTGGCTGGGTTTACAACCAGTGCTGGGGCTGGTAATTGACACAAACCCAGATTGCATGCCAGGCGAACTGGTACACGATGGGATAATCCGCCGAGAGGTGAGGTTCAGATTAAGGAAAGGGGTGAGGGTGGCAAAGGAAGGGTGCTCAATACCGACAGCGGGGGACATTGGAAGCGTTGCCGTGATAACCTCCGGAATTTGTTACCCCCATGTCGTGCATATAAGTTTGACAGGGCTTTGATGCACATAACCAAGCTCAGTGCGAAAATCGTAGTAGGGAATGGCGGATCAATACGGTCGGTCTGTTGTCCGAAGTCATGCTATGACTGATTGGAAAGGGGAAGAAAATTGGATAATGGGGGGTAAGAAAAAGAGTACCAAGGGAAGAGAGCATACGTATGAAGTTGGGTGTCATTAATGAGGCACCGTCCCATCCGGTTGGTGTGCAGGTCAAGTTGAGCCAGAAGTGACCACCTCATGCGGCCACCATTTTGTGGAGAAGACAGCCATCTAATGTAGGGCGTCGATCGGCCAGCCTGGAGCAATATGCGAATACAGACATAGTTGGCTAGGAAAGCAGAAACAGGCTCGGTTGAAAAGGCGCCTATTTGATTGAGGAAAGGCGAAAGAGAGGGAAAACCCAGGCGCTAGACGGCGAGAGCAGGAGGTGCTGTTGATTTGATATTGGGGTGGGCGGCCAAGAGCCACTGAGTATCCCAGGAGGTGGGATGGAAATGGAACCGACACACATGGATGATGACGGGGGTATGGACGACATCTCGTGGGCACATCCCTACGTGGTAGGGAGCCCTTCGTTTCCACAGGGTTGGACAAGCCGGGGGTGCAACGAACCTAGGAAGGGCATCGAAGGAAGAAGTAGGCGAGTCGTTAGCCTGTTGAACATAAGCAGCAGCCTTCAATCAGCAAGCAACAATTGAGGCAGAGGAGGCGCGGCGACTGCGATAGTCAATGTTGTCAGTCCCTATGAGGGCCTTCGCACCTGCATTCCTTTGCTGTGCTCTTTGTCACCGGATGAGGAGCAGGAAAGATATCGCGGTGGCTCTTCAGGTCAAGACGATCAAGATGCTGATCAAGATTTGACTGGATGATGCCGGACAACGTTTGAGATGTAAATTGAGTGATGTGACATAAGAGTTGAAGAGGAAAGACTGTCGATACCTTGACCAGATTCAAAGGCAGGCGCGATTGGGAATGAAAGTGAAGGAGGAAAGCAGGAAGGAGAACTAGTCGGCTAGGAAAGGCGGGCGATGTCAAAACTGCAGGGAAAGTGCCAAAACAGATGGCGAGATGGAGGGACAGACAGGATGGGCATGGTCCTGCTAGGTAACAATTGTGTGGTGAAAAAAAGACAGCCAAAAGTGACTTTCTCGCACCTTGCCATGAAATGCCCAGGCAGTCGCCTCGTGCCGCGCTGCGCTGCGTGTCTGCCAAAGTACTCGTACTTCCATGCCAAGTACTGTGTGCGTAGAACCCCGACCCATACCCAGACCCAACGAGCCAGCTAGCCCCGGCCGGCAGGCTCTCTGAACGTCAACGTCGTTAACTCGACTTGATCGCGAGCGAAGCAAACTGAAGAGACTGATAGCTCGCATCGGATGAGGCCAAGTTGCTGGCGCGATTTGATGGCACAAGGTGCGAGATGTAATTTATCCAGAATTGATTCGGCAAGTCGGATAGCAAGAGATGTGGTCGGGGCAAGGTATCTGATGTCCGATGAAGGCAGGGTAGCGTATGCACGGAGAACGGGTACCAGCCAAGGTACGTCAATACCTTAGCTACGAAGCGAGCGAGCGAGTGAGCGGGACACGGAGAGACAGAGACATGGCTATTTTGCTAGTGTAGTTAGACAGGGACAGGAGACGACGGAGACCATAGGAAGAGAGAGAGAGCGAGCGCGCGAGAGAGAGAGAGACAGAGACAGAGAAAGAGGGCGCGCGTGCGGAGGGACAGACGTCGCCTCATGCAGGTCTTGGGCATCGTCCACTCACACTTTCGCTTTCTTTCCCACTCCCCATCTGTTTCTGTGTCTCTTTCTCCTCTTGTGGGATATTTCCTTGACAACCTTACCTTGAAGGTGCCGCACTCAATCGATGGAATCTGTCGTCTCTTTTCCCTCCCTCCGTCACGCACATACACTCGCGCGCACCTCTGCGGACGCGAATGAGTAAAACTATGACTTGCTTTGACTGAGTTCGGGGCTAGACCCTTGGAATCGATTGAAGAAACTGAACGAAGAGCAATAACCGCAGCAAAAGTACGGTGACGATCTGATAGAAGGCAACGGGTGGTGAGATGGACGGGGGGCGTGCGGTTGGATTCTGCGGCGTTGGCAAGCCTGTGGTGAGGTGTGAGGTCGCCGGGCCCTTGCCCGGTCTTTGGTGCGAGAGTGATGACTGCGGGAGCGGGTACAGAGGTACAGAGTGGATCCATCTGTATCATGCAGGTCGCGGGGACGTATCGATACCCAGAGTTGCGCGTACTTTGTGTGTAGCCGTGAGTAGCATTCCCCGACCTGCAGCAGATCGATACTTCTCACCTCCCACGCAGCCCCATCCATCCGCAAGAGAGAAAAAAAAAAAGAGAGCGAGGGGGGCCTGCCGCTGCTGCTTTCTCTCTCTCCTGCTTCTGTTGCTGCTGTTGCTTCTTTCCTGCTCCCGCTGCCGCCCTGCTGGCCCAGACGGGACTGGAGAGGCATTAGGTACTTTAGCTTACCTTAGCATTGGTCTGTCGGTACGCAGGTACGTATCCGTACATTTCCAGATTTCCATATGGCGCGCACACACGCACTCTCTCTCCCTCCCCCCATTCTCCCATATTAATACTACTTGTCCCATCAAAGTCCCTGGGCCCTTGCCCCGTGTGTGTGAGTACCTTGCCATAGATTAGCTGGGGAGAGCTACATACCCACCCGACTTCATTGCGTTGCGGCAGTGGGAGCCATCCATCGTAGCAGTCGGTCTCCGTAGCGGCAGCCCAGATTTATGGATGAGGCAAGACAAGGCAAGTCGCAAAGCCAGGTTAAGGTGGGAAGAGCAGGTAGGCCAATCTATCGGTAGGCAAGTGGATGAGGTAAAGACGGATCAGGTGCAGGTTCGTCGGTGCGTGGTGCTTTTGCTTTGCTTTGCTTTACTCTGCTGTGGTTGCTGGTCCTGGACATGGACATGGACCTGGACCTGGACGGGACTTGGTGCCATGCCGGCGCTGCTATGAAAGGTACACCGTACACCTACACACCTCAGAACAAAAGGCAGGTACGGGGTCGGTCGACCTTCTTCGACGTTTCTTACCATTTTGCCTCCCGCTTGTCTGGACCTGGACCCATCTTCTTCTTCCCGTCTCCTTCCTTCCTTTCCACATCACTTCCTCCCTGGCCCATCTTGACCACCTTCACAAACACGCTCGATTTCGGCTCTCCAGCTGGCTCCATTGCTTCCATTCTCCCTGGTCGCGCGGATCCGTCGAACCTTCCTCGTCGGTTTCCTACCTACTGGGGTCCCAGCTTCTCACTCGCCCTTTGCTTTTCCATCGTCTCGTCTCTCACACTCACATTCTCATTCATCTACACCACCACACCTCACTCACTTCACTTCACCTCACCTCACCCATCACCACCACCACCGCCCACCACGCTCAAACCCAGACGCACATCTCTACTTCTCCCACATTCATAATCCAAATTCCACACTCACCCGCGTCACTACCTCCACGCGCCTTCCCCCCGCGACTTTCTTTTCTGGTCCATAGAGCTCCAAGCCTTTTACATATACCGTTCTTCCACACCTCGACACGGTCACTCACACATATCCATCTCCATCTCATGGGTTGCGTCTGGCTCACGGCCGCCTGCCTCACCGGATAAGTCGACGTCGGGTCCCATCTGGCTCAGCCTATGGATCGGAGCCTCCGCCGCCTTGCAGACGAACTTCACCCTGTCGGCCCTCTTGCATCTCGTCACCCGCGGGAAGGGCCCCGACATATTTCATCTCACCTCCCGCCAACGCGCAGCTAGCCACCGCCATCATGGCACAGAAAAACCAAACCGCCAGCAGTTCTGACGACCAATCTGCCAGCGCCACACCGTCTGCACAAGACGCCTCGGATTCCACGCAGCCTGCCACTTCGGGCGCGTCGACATCCAAATCAACATCTGCCGCCCAGAAATTACATCAGACTGAGCTGGACGCCGCCCTTCGCAACGCTCAACCCACGACCAAGTCATCTGCCATGGGCTTGGACCAGTCTTCAAAGGACGCTGCCGCCTTTGAAGCCGCAAACCCTTATGGGACGCGGTCACGAAACCGCACTGGCTCATCGCGCCCAAACTACGCCGAGGACAAGGATCTCGATGTCGACATGTATGATTACGCCCCAGAGAAGAAGGATCAAGAGTCCAAGAAATCGGCGCGTCACAGTAATGTGTCGGCCGCGTCCATCCAGGAGAACGCGCGACCCAACGGCTCAACCCGCAAGGCCCTGCCATCTGACGACACAAAGTCGACCGTCCCTCAGAACGGAGCAAAGGACGTGCAGCCAGCAAATTCCACCCCGACCACGCAAACACCGGCTTCGACAAACTCGACGCAACCCTCAAAAAAGCGCAAGGCTGCTTTACACGCCGCAGCTGCGACTTCTCAGGCTCATGCTTCTGCGACGGCCTCGTCGTCTGGCGCCAGCACAGGGGCATCACGAAAAACGGCGTCGGGTCCTTACGCTAGCTCTTACGCAGAGACGAACATGCTCAGTTTCGAGAACTCCGGTGCAGTCCCCAGAGATGGAAAATTGGTGGCGGATGACGGTACCGTACTAGCACCCAATGGTAAGACAGCAACAAACCACACACGCACCTTCACGTACCCTCACTCATCATCCTTACGCCTCGTCTTAATTTTTTTCCCTCCTTCTTCCTGGAGAGGATTGTTCGCTGATCTAGATTCACAGACAATGTCTATCTCGTGTGTGAGCCTCCGGGCGAGCCATATTACCTGGGTCGCATCATGGAGTTTCTCCACATGCAGAATAACAGCAAAAAGCCGGTGGATGCACTTCGCATCAATTGGTTCTACCGACCCAAGGATATCGGCAAGAAGGTCAATGACACCCGACTAGTGTTTGCGACGATGCATTCCGATATCAGTCCTTTGACAGCCTTGCGTGGTAAGTGCCACATCCTGCACAAGGCGGAAATCCCCAATATGGACGAATACCGAAAAATTTCGGACAATTTCTGGTACGAAAAATTGTACGACCGCTACATCCAGAAAAATTACGATCTGATCCCTACGTCGACAATTGTGAACGTGCCTGAGAGGGTGAAGAAAGTGCTAGACGAACGCTGGAAATTCGTTATTGTGGAGCAGGGCCGCGGAAAAGAGTTCACTAGTGCGGTGAAGTCCTGCAAGCGATGCAGCGGCTACTGTGCAAGGTTAGTCCGCCCACGCAGCAGTCTCATGGAGAGTTGGGGTCACTAACAGCATTACAGCAATGACTCGGTCGACTGTGCTGTGTGTAAGAAGACATACCACATGAACTGTGTCAGGCCGCCCCTGCTCAAGAAACCCTCCAGAGGCTTCGCTTGGTCCTGCGCTGCTTGTAGTCGTGCGCAGGAACGGAAATTGGAGGCTCGGCATACTCCCAACCCGAACAGTCTCAAGGAAAATGCAGGCGATGCAGATGATGAGGACTTGTACGACGACGATGATGATGAGATGCAAATCGACACCGAACGAACGAGTCCTGCTGAGGACGACGACGCCCATCGTACGGGCACTGCAGAGCAAATCTACCAAGCCAGCCTGTGGCCTTGGCGCTACCTTGGAATGCATTGCAGGCCCGAAGATGCCCTCGATTACGATGACCGAATTTACCCCCGCGCTAGCACTCGCATAGGTCCCAAACATCAAGCGCCCGTGCTTCCTTGGCCCGGCCAGCCTGTACAGTATCAAAAGCCTCTGGAGTTCAAGAGGACAGGGAAGAAAGGGCCCGGGCTATCGAAAGAAGCGCTTGCCGCTCTGGAGGCTGAGAAGATTCGACGTGAGAAGCGTCCTAAGTGGGTTCAAGATGAACCTGCGGGTTATGTGGCGAGAGGAGAAGACGACGACCCTGACGACCCGAACGCCACAGCTACACGCATCTGGTTGCCTCCCCCAGCAACGGAGAAGAATACTGGGTGGGAAGCCAAGCTCGACCGGTACATGAAAAAGGCGGAAGAGTTGACGGCCAAGTTTGGTCTGGCAAAAAACTCGACCAACTTCCACGATATTGCTGTGGCAAAGTACTACAGCAGTGACTTTGATGAAGATCGCGCACTGAAGGCGCTCTCGGAAGTGAACAAGGCGACTTTCAAGGAACCCGATCTGACGGCCACGGAACAGAAGAGGTTCGAGGAAGGTGTCAGCAAGTACGGATCCGAGCTTTATCTCGTCAAGCGACACGTCAAGACTCTTTCGCCTGGAGAGATTGTACGATATTACTACAACTGGAAGAAGACCCCGCAAGGCAAACAGATCTGGGGAAATTTCCAGAACAGAAAAAGCAAGAAGGAAGCCAAGAAGGCAGAGGTTGCTGCAAGCAAGTTGCAGGACGATATCGCCGATGATGCAGACGACTCTGCATTCGATTGCGAGAAGGCGGCAAGCAAGAAGAAGAGTTTCGTGTGCAAGTTCTGCCACACCAAATATTCCAGGCAATGGAGGCGAGCTCCCAATGCATCGGGAACACCTGTCAGCGAGGGCAAGAATTCCACCAAGGACAAAGGCCAGTACATCAATGCTCTTTGTCGCAGATGCGCGGAGCTCTGGCGGCGCTACGGCATTCAATGGGAAGAAATGGATGAGGTCGCCAAAAAGATCGCTCAAGCAGGTGGTCGAGCCTGGAAGAAAAGACAGGACGAGGAACTCCTCAAAGAGCTTGAGGCAGCTAAGGAAATGCATACTTACTGGAACACCCCTCCGCCGGCCATCGCTCCAGAGCCGGTTGTGGCAGTTTCAGCGGCACCTTCGAGCGAACCTCCGCGGAAGAAGCTCAAGGGATCAGCCCCAGAGAGAGACTCAGAGTCGCTCGCCTCAGACTCAGCTCCTGCTGCCGCTCCACCGAAGAAGAAGGAAAAGGCGGTCGAGAAAGAGAAACCAGCGCCTCCACCAGTTCCAGAAATCCCGAAGCCCAAGACTATGCCTTGCGCAATTTGCAACCAGTTGGAGCCCTTGGGAGATCAGCATCTGTCGTGTAAGGAATGCAGACTGACAGTCCACCGCAACTGTTATGGAGTTGTCGACAACAGGCACCCTGGCAAGTGGACCTGCGATATGTGCGCCAATGACAAGAGCCCACAGGTTTCGATCGTAAGTGGTTTACCACCCTTGACTAATCTCGTTTCATATGCTGACTTCTGGATAGCAATACAAGTGTGTCTTGTGCCCGATTGAGCATACTGAGCATGACTTCGTTGAGCAGCCTAAGATCTCTACTTCCAAGAAGAAATCAGAGAAGGAAAAGGAGCGCGAGAGAGTGGAACGAGAGCAGGCACAAAAGGCTGCCGACTACTACAAGAAAAAGCAGGAGGATGCCAATCGCCCAGTCAACCCCAGGGAGCCTTTGAAACGGACCGCAGACAACAACTGGGTCCATGTCACCTGTGCTGTTTGGACACCTGAGGTCAAGTTTGGCAATGCTAAGGCATTGAGTCCATCTGAGGGCATTCCTTCTATCCCTCGTGCCAGGTACGATGAGGTTTGCTTGGCCTGCAACCACAAAGGTGGTGCTTGCATTACTTGCCATTACTGCCGAGACCCTCGTAAGTATTGCTCATTCAACTTCTTGGATGCCTACTAATCGCTATTCCCAGTTCATGTTGAATGCGCTCGCCAAAAGGGTTATCTCCTCGGCTTTGACATCACCCCTGTAAAGGGGTCTCGCCGTGACCAGTTCAATCTCGTCACCATTAATGGCGAAACTGGTGTCATGTCCGCCACAGTGTGGTGCAAGGAGCACGTTCCAACAAAGAGCGTTATTCATCAGATGCACGACATTGTTGACGAGGATGGCCTCACTGCTCTACAGTACTATGTGCAGAGCTACAAGCAGGCAGATCTCACCTTGACTGGCACAGTCAGAAAGGCCAACCTGATGACGAATGCTGCGAAGATGGGAGGTGTTCCTGTGACGCCAAGCACTCGGCGAGCATCAACCACCACTGCACCTTCTAACGTTGTTTCTCAGAGTGTGAACAGCGAAACCCCGAGCACTCACCAAGCAGGAGAGAAGATATGCATTACCTGTGGCATCGACGTCGCTCTCAAGTGGTGGCCCATTGAAAACTCCGATGAGCGGGAACTCACCAATGGTCACTACGGAAGCCTTGGCTCAGAGGCTCAGAAGTTTGTCGAGCAGAGAAAGTTCCAGTGTCACAAGTGCCGCAAATTGAAGAGGAAGCCGGTTCCCCATGTACCCAAAGAACCATCTCCAGTCATCGAGGCTGCTGCGAGGTTGGTACCACCTCCACCTTTACCGGTTGTCCCCGCACATCACGCTCTCGCAGCACCTCCTCCGCCCTTGAGGAGCCCACCAACGACCGGCGCAGAGGCCAGAGCTCGAAGCCTCTCTTCATATGCCTGGGTTGCTCCGGCACCTCCTCCACAGCCGTCTGCCTCCCAGCCTGCAGCTCCACATCCAGCGCCTGTGCCTGTGCCCGTGCCGCCGCCAGTTCAGGCTGCTGCCGCACCACCGCCGCCAAACCCGGCTCCAGCTCCTCACCAAGCTCCGGGTCCCTATGGCCCTCCCCCGGCACCAAGATACGAGTGGAACAGTCGCCCACCTCCACGTCATGGATCGCCACCACAGCGTCCTATTTTCCAGCCGTTGGCTAACCTACGTCCTCCGCCAATGATTCCAATGTCGATGGCCCCTACACCACCATCCGGTCCCAATGGACATATCGGCCAGCCTGTGCATCACGGAATGCCGCCTTCGCCGCTGATGGCGGGGCCCATGTCTCATGGATCCCATGGCCCACACGCACCGCCCTATGTGCATCCTTATCGGCAACCTCCTCACGGATCACCTCACGGCCTACCAACTGGCGGGCCTCAACCTAGAGGCCCCGATGCGTTCGCTCAGGGACTTCTACCGCAGCGTTCACCATACGGAAGTCCCCCAGCTCATGATGCCGGAGGTCCGCTGAGGACACCCGGCATGCGCCCTTCCAACGAGCCGCCTCGACCCGCGGGAGCGAGCACTAGTCCTTCTCTACGCAACTTGCTCTCTTGAGAGACTACGGCATGTTTCTTTCACTTTGCGACTTTGGGGAGTTTTGGAAGATGGTATGAGGTATAAGGAATGGTTGAAGTCCAGGGCCGGAGAGCAGAAACTCCCGCCCCGCTAGTGTAGATTATGCATTTCGTTCAAGCGCGAAAGAAAAACTTGTGTCAAGGTACAGACACGTTGTCTTGTGATAGCAACTGGTTGCACCGGGGAGGCTGGCGGAACGGGATGGGTTCCTTGTGCCAAGGGCGGTTGCTAGATGTCCTAGTGTTGAATAAAGCAAGTTCTCGAGTAAAGCTGTAGCTCAAGGCTCTGGTAGCCAACATAATGCGTGATACGTTGTCAAACGCTCACTACCTATACATACGTTGTCCACCTTTGGCTATTTACTTCATTCCTCCCCAATATCCTCGTTCCTGGCTTGGTCAGTATTTTTCTCTCGAGGTGCTTTAATGGCAAGATGTGCCGTCCGGTTGGCAGGGGACGGGCATCTTCCTTACCAGACTTCAGGCTTTTCAGCAATAAACTTGTCCATGAGAGCCTTGCATTCTGCGCTATCGACGACGATGACTTCCACGCCGCGCTGCTTGAGGTACTCCTCGCCGCCGAGGAAGGTCTTGTTCTCGCCGATGACGACGCGAGAGATGCCATAGAGCAGACAGGCTCCGGTGCCTGGTGGAAGAGGTTGAGAACCGGGTTCAGCATTCAGAGGGGAAGAGAGGGGAGGGAGACTCACACATGTCGCAGGGGGAAAGAGTCGTGTACATTGTGCTGCCCTTGTATGCCTTTCCGGGCAGACGTCCTGAGTTGAAGAGGGCGTCGGTTTCGCCCTAGTATCCAAAGCCGTTTGAGTTTTTGATACGATTTGTGATTGGGGGAAGGGGGGTTTCATCGGAAGACTTGTTTGACTTACATGGTGAATAGCCGAGCCCATCTGGACGCGGCGGTTGTGGCCGCGGCCGAGGAGCTTGCCGTCTGCGGAGACGAGGGCGGCTCCGATCTGGGGCCGGGTTAGGGGTCGTACGTTTTCCCCGGATGGTGATGAGTTTTAACGTACCGGGACGCCGCCCTCTGAGGCGCCGGTCTTGGCTTCCTCGATTGCGATCGCGAGACCTTCTGTGTCGTTCATATTGCTGCCGTTGGGAAACTGGGTGGCAAGGTTGTCAGTTGAGAGGTGGATGGATGGAAGCGAACGAAGTGGGGGCGGGGTTACTTTGGGATTGTTTGGTATTGGAAGGGAAAGGGAAGGGAAAGGGTCTCACGTTTGAGTTGGGATTGATCAGGATGAGAGTATGCCGCAACTCTTGCTCAGCAAAGCAGGAAGATAGTGTCTAGTACAAAGGACGCTAGAGCCGTGTTGCTGAGTGTGCTTTTGAGTACGATAGAGACTTTGGTGGCGAAGATAGGGGTGGCGTATGAGATGGTTTGATTTGGGAGGGTCCTTATCGGTGTACTCCACTTGGTGATGATGGGTTACGAAAATCACCAGATTGATGGGCATCAAGGCCTTCGAAACTGTGAGATAGGGGTACTCTACTTGGGAGCGTTGGAGAAGACTTGGGCTCGTTGTGTTGATGAGTTGTTGCAACGCGAGGGTGAAGTCGGACGTGTGTGCGGTCGTAGCTCCAGCGCGGGATAACCAGTCGGCAAGATGTCTACGCGCGCGAGTAATAAACGCGTCAATTAGCAATTATATAGTCAGTTGATCGAAAAGCATTGATGTGGGACTTTGAGTTAGTGTAGTTCCGTAACTAAACATATTCAAGTTGGGTCTACCTCGTCTGTCTTCACTCTCTGTATCTCCGGGACAAGCGCTCTGTTTCCAGGGGCGAGGATGGTGTGTTTACGAGACTATGCTACGTTGAGTTCGCTGCATGGTCAACACGGTACCCGAAAGCTTCGATGGTGGATATCAGCCTCTTTCTCTCTCTCACTTATCCTGTGTGCGCTGGAATATTCACAAAGTGCTTCAAGGAATATCGGGTTGGAAGTAGTTGGAGCCTTTTGCCTTCGGCTTAGGACGTCTCTCACCGAACGAAATGTGTCAAACTCACGCCGAATGACCGACTACGTCAAATCAGTCATGTTAGATGATAGACTCACTGTAAACTGAGGGTGGTGAGAAGGGGTGAAATTAGTTCTCACTTGCGGAAACCCACTCGGCCGATGAGGCCATTTCAACTCTGGTCATCTCGCCTTTTCAAGATCATCCATCCTAGGGAGCAAGTTGCAGCAACATGAATAGAATCAGCTCGTCATGTTAAAGAGATTGAAAATGGCCACGATTGGTCCCTCAACTACGAGCCTCCCGAACATGATGACCATAGAAGGCATTTGCGACGGTCTCATTCTAGGGGTAGCGTACCTCTTGAGTGAGTCGTGCCTTGACACATTTGACAGCAAACCGCCAGGTCTGTCCACAAGGAAATGCGGAACTAGGCAAGAATGGGGCAGATCAAGCTCATACTCTAACATAAAGAGTTTGATATAACTGTGGCAAAGAATGCCACTCTGAAAACCGTCGGAAGGGCATAGATAGCGCAGATGTTCAATGAATACATCACGATACTTGGCACCAGGACTTCTGGAGTCGTATCTTATGGAACGATGCTGGATTGAGCACTTAGCTCATAAGAGAACAAGGCATAACATTTCTGGAAGAGCCCGAGATAGACTATAGTCATAGGTAGTGTTACCTAAAAAAGCTCAGATGGTAAATCCAGCAGATGAAGTTAAGCGAAAGTGATACCTAGCTGCATCACCATGTCAGCTCAACCCATGTTCCTCTGTCACGCTGGGAAGCTGAGTCGTAGATTCTCATCTACACAGACCACGATATCACTCGAGCCAACCTATTCACCTAATGACCGAAAACCAGACGTTTGTACGGCGCATAGGTCGCTGTAGCTTGTCAATAGCTGTTCGGACCGTAGCACCGGTCGAACTATCGGACGACGCAAAGCAACGGGTAAGCAAGACCACAGTCTGGACCAAGCATATTTTGCAGCTACAGGTGGCTGGCTAGGCATCACATAAATTATCTTCTCTGAATACGACGCAGGGCAAGATGGGAGGCAAGGACGTGGCTGAAGATGCAAACATATTTTCGGATGGCGCAAGATGCATAAGAGACTGATGTAGCAGTAAGAAGTGATCTGACTGAGGTTGAATAAGTAAAAGGGGGTTGAAAAAGACCAGCACGCTTGTGAGAAGAAGCCGGTGAACAAGTTCCGAGACCGAGTGAGGTCCCTGGTCTCGCCCCGAGGCTCACGATGAGTCGTTAGATGGGTGGAGCAGGCCCGTTGGGATCAGCATATTACATACGACGGCAATGTTACTTTAGATCAATCTTTCCCGAAGCTTGCATCGGCGTTTATCTAAAGTAAACTCGTATATCCAAATTTTGGTGGAGCCCCGTTTCGAGATCATCCCAAGGAGGGAGATGGCCGAAGATCAGCCAGATCCACGTGATGTTGCAGGTGATCGGATGCTTTTCCCCCCCTTGCGATGTTTACCACAGCTTTCTTAAAGGCAACCTGGCTTAATTGATATTGTGACTTTCTCTTATTGAGGAATTGGTTGACTGTCATCATCGGACTTGAAAATCAAGGTTTTGTACTGTAAAAAGGTGCCTTGGTGTATTACGTAAGACATTTTGGGGGTAAGGTTTCGACAGGAAGGCAACGTCTCGCGTCCCGGGTCAGATTGTCTGCTCCTGACCTCGTTCCTGCTCGGCCAAGCGCCCAAAAATGCTGTGAAGCCCCTCCTACTTCTCCGCTGCGCGGGCATCTTTGCGGTGGACCGTGCACCGACGTCAACTTGATTCCTCGGCTGAAGCGCCAATGGGGGCAAAGGTATGGTATCCACACGCTCGTCCTGGCAGGAGCATTGCAATTCCACTGTAAATAGCATTGGATCCCCATCATCATCACGGGTTCCCTTTCCATGTCCAGTGAGGATGAGACAGACTTGTCCCGTTCTCCGCTGGGAGAAGAGGGGGGACGCCCAATGAAAGCCCCCCTGGCAAGGCATTGCATGGCAGACGGCTTCTGCTGCCAGGTGCTGCTGGCTGTTCTACTTGGATAACTTCCCCTCGTGAGAGATTGCCTGACAGGTATTCATCCACGGTACAGACAGAGGACTCACCGTCTTAATTGGGCTGGGAAGGTGGGAGAGGGCGGAAGTGCCACCATGCAGGTGCAGGCTCAATAAGGTACCTACAAATAGGTATGGGCAGCAAAGCCCAACGCCGATGACTTGAAGGCCAAACATGTTGTCACCTTCGTTCTCATTGGCCGGGGGTATCTTAATCTGTACATCACGTACTGCGTAGGTAAGCCGTCGTATCTCGTTGCAGACAGACTGGGGAGAATTGAAGGAAGGAGATGGGCAAAATAAAAAAAGAAGTCATCCTCTGGGACGCCACAAGCCAGCGTCTCTGAAGAACCCAAACAGTGCATAGAGATGATGATCCCCAGTGTTAGCGCCTTACGGCAGTGAGGAGTAATTTGGGTATCCGAAGGAGGAAGGGACGGGAAGGTACCTTACACTTTCCGTAGTGTGGCGTGCCTGACTTCCTGCGTGCCTGGGTGCTGGCTTTTCGTAACGTAAGGAACCTCCCATGCACTTTGGGTACCTGCCTGAAGGTAATACCCAAGGTTAGGTAAGAAACCTGACCCAGTCTCACTCTCTCGCTCTCTCTCGGCTCTCCCATTCCTTGCCCGCCCAGCTCTCACTCCGCTCTGTCTTGCTCGCCTTACCGCCCGCTGCCCTCCACTGCCTTAGGTACTTACCTTCCACCCGCACAAACCACACCACACACAAGAAGCAGGCACGGCAACAGTGCACACCACTTACCTCACTTTTGGCGACTCATATCCGTACCTTTTACCTACGTACCTACGTAGGTACCTCATCTTCCCATACATACCTTGCCTTACTTTCTTCCTCCCGAGGTACCTTTTCTGCGTGCTCAAGGCTTAAGGTACGGACAAACAAAACGCAAGAGAATAAGAAAAAAAACGATAGAGGGTTTGGATTCTCTTGCCCATTTATTTACCTTCACATCACCCACATCTGCACCCACAGTACAGCCCGGCCCTGGGATTCGCCCATCTTTTTGGGTGCAGCCGATCAAGCCCACACTAAATCTCCCTACGGCCAGCAACGAACGCCTCACAACAAAACCACCACCGCGCCTTCGCCCACACTCCTTTGATCATCCTCGACCCGGCCCCTTTTTTCCTTTTCTCCAGCCGGTGTTGGTGCTGGACTTTGGACTGCGACCACTACCACTACGTATACGACGCCCAGGACAGGACGTTTCTAGGTTTTACCTATTTCCCCCCTCCCGCATCACATAGCCTTGCATTACAACTGTGGTCCGCCCTTGTGTGGTTTTTTTTTCCTTCTCAATCTCATTTCCGCCTTCCTTTCTTCGGACGAGACGAGACGAGAGACGAAAGTGTTCGGTCGGTCGCTGGCAGCATTTCAGCTCCTGCTCCAAACGTCGCCCTGTCGCTGCTGGGCTGCTCCACTACCACAAGCCAACAACCTAACCTCGACGACCCCGACCCATTCTCCCCGACCCTCTTCTCACCCACGCCCTCACCCTCACCCTGACCCCCGACTATTCGTACTCGACCGACTCCCAATCCCAATCCCAACCCCGACTACCACTACTTTCAACACCACCATCCCCTTCAGGCCAGCGCCTGCGACGTGGCTACCCGTCTCCCGCCAGTCTCGCGAATACCTGACGGCCGTTACCCGAATTATTTACTATCGCCCAGCACGATACCGCCGCCGTGCGACGACGACCCTTTTCTTCAATTCTCGACCCCAGTACATACCTACCTACCCATTCCACCACGACCACCCCCCGGCATTTTCGCAGCCCAGCTGATGCCGACCGATAATTTCCTGGCAACTTCCACCTCCGACACTCAAGGCTGACGGGCCGCTTTCCAATCCATCCCGCCCTACCAGTGAAGAGTCGCAATCGAACACACCACGCGCAGACAAGACGACGCAAACATTACTGCACCATGGCGTCGGATTACGATCATGGGGCGCCGGACGACCGCTTGCAAGCCCACCCCGCCGCCACCCCTATGGAACCTGGTTATCCCGGTGATGGAGTCTGGCAGAACGGAGGAAGGAGAACTCCCGAAAGAAATTACCGCTCACAACAGCCCTCACGTTCACCCGGTCCCAGAACACCTGGTCGAGAGGGCGACTCAAGGCGGAGCGGTGAACGCAGTAGATCCAAAGGAAGAGGAGGTGGGCGGTCAGCCAGCGGTCAACAGAGGACCTGCAAGAAGTGTGGAGAGCCTCTCACCGGCCAATTCGTTCGCGCACTGGACGGAACCTTTCACTTGGATTGCTTCAAGTGTCGTGTACGTCTTCAGAATATCCCCTGTTCTTCCCTGATTGTTCTAACCCGGATTTTATTACCAGGATTGCGGCCAGATTGTAGCCTCCAAGTTCTTCCCCGTCGATGACGAAGGTGGTGAAGGACAGTATCCTCTGTGCGAGACAGACTACTTCCGCCGGCTGGGTTTGCTTTGTTTCCAGTGCGGCGGCGCCCTTCGAGGCTCCTACATCACCGCTCTCGACCGAAAGTATCACGTCGACCATTTCACATGCTCCCTGTGTCCCACGGTCTTTGGCGCGCAGGACAGCTACTACGAGCACGATGGCAACGTGTATTGTCACTACCACTACTCTACGCAGTTTGCGCAAAGATGCAATGGCTGCCAGACTGCAATCCTCAAGCAGTTTGTGGAAATTTACAGGAACGGCCAGAACCAGCACTGGCATCCCGAGTGTTACATGATCCACAAGTTTTGGAACGTGCGACTTACGCAGCCGAGTGACCCCTCCGAATTACCTCAGGAGACCGACGACCCCGCGACTCGCGACATCATTAGAGAGGAGGAAGAGCGCATGGAGGAGAAGGTCTACCGTATTTGGAGCGTCCTGTCAACTTTCGAGGAGTCGTCCGCAGCATGCATCTCCGATATGCTCCTCCACGTGAGCAACGGCGCCTATGTCGACGGTGTGCTGGTCGCCAAGAAGTTCATCTGGCATGTTGAGATCTTGTTCCAGTCTGCTGATCGCCTGGACTACTCCATGGATCAACTGAAGCTCAAGGGTGAGCTTTGAATAGCCATACTCTCAGATCACGTTCTTCGCTAACAGCCCAGAAATAGGATTGTCGTACGGTCGTGAGGCCAAGCTTCTGTGCAAAAAGATAGTATCTTTCTTCTCGCTGCTGTCCAAGACCCAGGACACGGGAGCCCGCAAGCTTGGCGTCACTCAGGAGTTATTGTCCCTAGTCACAGGTCTTGCTCACTATCTCAAGCTTCTCATTCGAATCTGTCTGCAGGGAGCGTTACGCCTTGAGAAGGAGTCTAAGAGCTCCGACGGCATTTATCAATTCCTGGATGACCTGAGCGAACTGGACAGCGTAAAGCCCGACGACAACACCCTACAGGCTATTACGGGCAACTCGCGCCTTTCGGCAAAGGATTCTGATCACTGTGCACTCTGCAATAAGTCTGTCGAAGACGAGTGCGCAAAGAACTCCGACCGGCGATGGCACATTGCCTGCGTCAGCTGCTCACGTTGTACAAGAGATATCGGTCGCAAGCTGGAAGATGCTCGCTACAATGCCTTTGACAAGAAGATCTACTGCAACAACTGCATCGGCGCCAACGGTGATGATATGCCGCCTTTTGAGCATGTCACCAAGCTCCAGCAGTACGTTTTCTTGTTGAAGGTGGCGCTCGCGCGGTTGTTGGACATCCTGCGAAGCAATGGCGCTTTGCCTCGGCAAAACGATGACCAGAACTCGGATGGTTATGGTCCAGGCGAGGGTGCCCGAACTTTGGCTCCCGGAGAAGCACCCTACCTAAACTCAGACAACCGCTCGAAGTCGTACGCTGGAGATCAACGGGAGCACAATCGCGAGTCTTCCTACGAGAACACGCTGAATGATGTTCGCCGATTGAGAAGTACTCGTCTCGACAAGCATTTGTCTTCAAGCTTTCGCAAGGCTAGAACGTCGCGCATCATGGACGGGCCTGAGGGACGTAGCGTTCGCCCAGGATCCGCGGGCGAGGACTTAGGCCGCGCTGATGGGGACCTCCATATTCTCGAGGAACGAAGAGGCCCAAACGACGAAGGCACAACGGACAAAATGTTCAACCACCAAGACGCTCTGACGCTGGATGATATCCCGCGAATCGTTGCTGCCGAACAAGTCAAAGAGCAACAATATAAGCCCAACCGCCAGGAACTCTTCCGGTCCCCCGCTACCGACCCCATGGGACATCAAAGATCGCAGTCGGCAGGTAGAGAGGCTGAGTTGCGCATGGGCGATGCGATGCCTCAGCGTCTGGGACGGAAGTACTTTTCGGAGCTCTCGGGATTGGAGTACTTTATCGTGCGCCACCTGGCAGTCTTGACTCTGGCGCCTGCCGTTGAGAACGAATTCCCTCTGGAAGAGTTATTGAGCTTTATCGAGTCGAGAAAGCAGCCCACGTTCTGGAAAAACTTGGGCAAGGCCTTCAAGAACGACCGGCCGAAGAATGTCAAGAAGAAGGGCATTTTCGGAGTACCCCTGGACGTCATCATTGACAAGGATGGCGCCGAGTCAACAGACGGTGTAGGCCCCGGAACACTCAAGATTCCTGCAATTATTGACGACCTCATCTCATCCATGAGAAAAATGGATCTTTCCGTTGAGGGTGTTTTCCGAAAGAATGGCAACATCAAGAAGCTGTCTGAGCTCTGCGAAAGAATCGACCGGGAAGGCTGCGACAGCATTAGCTTCATGGACCAGCCTGTTGTACAGGTTGCCGCTTTGTTGAAGCGCTATTTGCGTGAGCTGCCCGATCCACTCTTGACTTTCAAGCTCCAGAAGCTCTGGATTTCTGTCGCCAAGATCCAGGACGATGCAAAGCGCAAGTCGTATCTGCACCTCATCTGCTGTCTCTTGCCCAAGGCTCACCGAGACTGCTTGGAGATTCTGTTCTGCTTTTTGAAGTGGGCTGGATCCTTCCATCAAGTGGATGAGGAAGCCGGATCTAGGATGGACATCAAGAATCTGGCAACCGTTATTGCACCGAACATTCTTTACAACAGCAACAAAGCGCCTGCACTGGACAGCGACCCCATGTTCGCCATTGTCGCCGTGAACGATATGATCACGTCTATCGAAGAAATGTGCCTGGTAAGATTGCTGTCCCGTCATCAGACATTTCGCAATACTAATTAGTTGTAGGTTCCCGACGAGCTTATGGAAATGGTCAACGATCCATTCGTGTTTGGCAACACTGCCGATCTCACTACAAAGGACATCCTTAAGCGTTACCAGGACCGCATGGGTCAAAGACCAGGGTTGGGCGAAGTTAATGAGGTCTTTAACAGACCAGATAACTCATCCCGGCCCCCTCCCCGAAGGGTTGAGACTGACCCCGCTCTGTGGCAACAACAAGAGAGTAGCGTCCGCACTGTGCAGGAACCGCCCATGCCCATTCCTCCTTTCAACCAACCCAATCCTGGTACACCACCCCAAAGATGGCGGCCACATGAAGAAAATGGCCACCCTTCACCCTATGGTGGAAGCCAGTATGAGCATTCAGACACCGAAGGCCCTTCGGAAGCTCAAAAGAGAGAATGGCGCCAGTCGGGTGGGGTTTGGGGAAGACAGAACAGCGGTGTTGGCGTAGGTGGAAACACATAATCCAACCAAACCAAACCGCAACAGCAAAACTACACACATATCGAAGAGTGATTTCCTACGAGGCTCACATCACTTGCTACGCATTCTATTGGGACTGCGATTTGGGGTTTCGGAGAGTCACATATCCATGCATTGTTGGCGGCGTTCCCAACCGTTTTTCATCAAAAGAACAAAAGACTTTTCTTTTGTTCGGCTACTCAACTCACGACAAGGCGGCATGAATGATTTTTTTATTTCTTTTCAAAGTTCTCTTCCAACACTTTGTCAAACCCTCTGCTTCTTGGCTTCTCCGAGAGTGAAGCATCGGATCGATATGGAATGAGGCATCCTAACGGTCTGCTGGTGTTCCTTCGCACAAATTACGATCCCGTCGTCTACTGGAAAGGGGGGGAAAGAGGACTGGTGGTCTTGGTTTGACCCTGGCTTGTTTGGAGTAAAGGCCCTATGCCCATTGACTTGTCGATGGGTGATACCGGTCTGGTTTGATTGATATGTCTCGAGCTGGACAGCTGGCCTCGTTTCTTCTTGGCTTGCGCGAGAGACCTAGTATAGCTTCGCTTCTTTTGTTGAAAGAGGGAGATATCGGATTACATTTGTGAGATGATCTGGAGCCAGGGGGAAGGGAGGAGGCCGAATAGTGCGCCACGTTTGCGCGCATCTCGAGAAAGGGGTCGGGAGGAATGGGGAAACCTCGTCCATTGTTCGCCTTTGAAAGACGCTCCTCCGTGTAGCTATGGATGGAGTAAAAGGGCCACCTAGGTAGTTCCGCCAACGCGAATAGGACAGGCCAAGCATTGCCTGCAGGTTTTCTCCAACTATTGCCTCTGAATATGTGTGCAAACATGTTGCTGCTCGCGTGTCCTACAATCATGTTTCACAGCCCATTCGCAACGCCTGCTTACACGCATAGAAAGGCAAAGAATACGACCTGATATATGTTGCTCTTGCTCATGATGTGGCCGCTTATCGGCCGTTTATTAGTTCCCTCTGGCATTGAGGGGTTGTTTATGTATATATACGATGAAAAATCTCTGAAAACTTTTTTTTCAACATGAAGGTCTCATATCCCTAAAACACCACCGTCCTTCATCATAACCATCATCGCCTTTGTAACAGCGTCCTTCATGCCTTGACGCTCACCTTGCCAGCCTTCTCCTGGTCGAGGAACCACTGCACGCCCCTCTTGATGCCGTCGTCAAGGCCGACAATGGGTCGGTACCCGAGGAGGCGCTTGGCCTTGCTGATGTTGTAGTAGCGCGTCATGCAGCTGTAGATGCAGCGCTGGCGGTTGAAGATGGGCGGCTTGCCGATGATGGCGAAGAAGATTTCGGAGCAGAAGCCCAGCGCGATGCCGAACTCGCGGGAGATCTTCCAGGCGTGGTCGGTGCCCTTGTCGGAGCCGGCGGCGCGCCAGATGGCGCGGGCGAAATCCCAAAAGTAGATGGGGCTGTCGTTTGTGACGAGGAAGGCCTCGCCGTCGACCTTTTCGTGGTCGAGGGGCGTGATGGAGGAGGCGGCGGTCGCGAGGAGGAGGCGGGCGGCGAGGAGGTGGGCGTGGGCGACGTTGCCGACGTAGGTGAAGTCGAAGAGGTTGTCGTTGTCGCCGAGCTGCACGCCCGTCTTGCCCTCGCGGTAGATCTTGACCATTTGGTGCGTCACCATGGTGTCGCCCTCGCCGAAGATGCCCGCGGGGCGGATGGCGGATGTGAGGAGGGGGTAGGGGTCTTGGCGGTTTGCCTCGAGGACCAATTCTTCTGCGGCGGCCTACGGATGGTCACATGTCAGTCATTGGTAACGCAACAACACTTGAAGGAGAAGAGCAGGAGATTGGCCATCGCATTATAAGCGCAATGGAGCGTGGGAATTCGTAGGCTGGCGTGCGCACCTTGGTCTCGGAGTAATACTCCGTCTGCAGTTCGCCGCGGATGACGGGCCAACGCTCGTCGGCATTGATAAGGTCGGTGGCATTGTCGCTAATGATACTCGCGGAAGACGTGTAGACGAGAGCCTTTACGGAGGCGGCCAGGCAGGCGGCGATGATGGAAGCGGTGCCGTCGACGTTGACCTTGCGGAAGAGATCCTTTGCGATGGCGCTATCGCCCTGGGGCGCGGGGGAGGCGGTGTGGACGACGACGTCGGGTTTAACGTTCTCGAAGAGGGACTTGATCTTGTCTACGTCGGTGATGTCCGCCTCGTGGTAGTTGGCTTTGGGGTTGCGGTTGTTGGCGCAGCGGAGATCTACAACGTCGACGGATGCGACGGCCCAGCGGTCGCCGGCCAGGAGTTGGTTGACCACGTGGTGGCCGAGGAAGCCGTTGCCGCCGACGACGAGGACCTTGCCCAGGTTGGGGGGCGTGGTGGGCTTTGCAGACATGTTCGCGGCGCTGCTGGTTTTTGGGTGGGAGAGAGGGTGGTCGTTGGGGTGTTATCACGGGCTGAGGTGAAGGAGTTGGAGGAGGCTCTGGGAAAGGATAATTAATTGGCGTGGTCTGTTGTCTCTGGTCCCCTGAACTGAGGATTTCTGGGGTAATGGCACAGCACCAGAGAGGCCAAGCTTCAGTTTGTTCGATCCAATTTCAAAGTACAGCTTGAGTACCTAGTACACAATAGCTAGGCAATACTACTCCTCCAAAGTTAGTATAACTACTTGTGAACTTTCTGAGTGGCGCTAATTGCATTTAGGCTACCTGTATGGAGAACATGCCAGAGAATACCTCGCAGAACATCCAACCTCTACGACGCTGTTGTGGTGGGGCCGGTGAGATGCGTGTCTGCTTCCGCATTCAACATGACATGAGGTGCAGGGGGGAATACAGCAAGGTGCCCCACCTCGAAGAGCACTGACTTTCGAGACTGCTATGCAGGCGCGTCTCTTAAGACTTCACTTTCACTTTGAGTCTGACATATTCTTAGGCGAAGAGTGACAGACGAGATTCCTTTATTCTCCTTCTCACCTTTTTTGGTCAAAGCTACCGTCACCTATCATCTTCGCAACCTGCTCCATCTTTTTTGGACCTTACGAAAGCACCTTCCATTATTATGCATCTTGGCGCTTGCTCTTGGAGATGAATGTACTCTCCAGTTTCGCAGTGAGGTTGTCATGGAGGCACATGACAACGTTGAGATCCTAGTGCACGTCACAGCGCCGTGCAGAAACATCGATGATGTGCGCTACCGAGCCCTTGCACAGGCATATCTCGATTTTGCACCAACGAGACAGACCAATATTTTCAGCAAACCTTCAGAAGAGGAAGATGTCGAAGCTATCCCCAGCTCAGAGGCCGAGCCACCAGCGTTGCCTGCTTGGTCAGATGTGCCGAACCTCGATAGCGAAACAACGCAACCGGCAACCTCATCACCACCACATATACAACCACCGCCACCTCAATACCCCGCAACTTTTGGATCTTTCGAATCACAGCAACTGTCCTTTAGGAGTGTCTTGGATAACAGAAATTCCCCGGGTCTCGGTCAGCCACTTGCATCTAGAGACTTACCACCTTCGTCTCAACCTGTGGCTGATTCACAGCCAACGCAGGCTAGCTGGGTAGCTCCTCCCAGTGTCGTCGGTGATTCTCAGCCGTCATATGATATCAGTCTTGCCGAGTTCTCATCCCCGAGCCGGCTCTTTGAACATCTGGCAGGGCAGTTCGATAGCCAACTCGATGAGGAATCTCAGCAACTGTCCTCAGAAGCAAGCCAGCAACAAGTTCCAGAAGTAGTCGCAACGGCTACGCCAGTCATAGAGGAAGACTGTAATGAAGATGAGGACGATGGTCAGGTTATTCTCGTAACGTCGAGCAACTCCCTGGCAATTAAGAGCAATGCCACCCCAGTTCCAGCGGCCTCTACTATTCCCGCAGATGCTATAATCCTCAACACGCCGTTCCCTGCTCTGAAGCGACCGCCTTTAGTCAGCTCTCCTTTTGAGCAGATAATACAGGACACGCCTTGCCAACCGTCTCGGAAGAGAGCAATACCGTCATCGCCAAACCGAGCCGGCTCCGAGCCCCTACTTCCATCGAAACGGCACAAACGGTCAGCGCCCATCTCGGAATCGAGGTCTGTCATCACGAGAAGCTCCTCAGATGTAGGCCCTGGGCCCAGCCATCTTTTCAGACCTCAACGGCCTCCTAATGAGAGGCACTTGAGCTACCTCGCACGTCTTGAGATCCACCCCGTTGGCCCCCCCGTCGGCACCAGCGAGCTGACGCCAGATGATCTCCTGACGCCCAAGCTGAAGGAGCTGGCCCGCCAACTCAAGATATCGAAGCGCTTTGCCCCGGTTGAACAGATAAGGGAACTGCGTCCATTTGAGCGAGGCCACTGGCACTTGGACTGGACCGGCTGGCGACCGAGTCTCCGCGAGCGAGCCTGGCACTTTTTGACGGATTACATCCTCGAAGGGTTCGCGGGATGGGGCGTCTGGTGTAAACGCGCAGAGGACTGGTCCTGTATACGCGTGTACTGCTGGGGCCACATCGTCGGCCACATCTATCTGGCCTTATACCTGGCGAGCGAGAGGGCGCTGAAGAAGGATGCGGCGAGGTGGCTGGACGGTGCGGGTGAGGTTATTGTCATCACCAATGGCCACGAAAACTCCGACTCTGGGGAGAGCGTGGAGGACGATCCCGACGACGGAATGTAGTAGGATGGGAGACGACGCGGCGGGCTGTTTTCATTTCGTTTTACTTCCTTCTTGTTTTCCTTGGCTAAGCGAGGCGTTTGCATAAGGTAAGGGGTTCGACAGGGCGGTACTGCTTGACAAGTTTGGATACGGGGCAAACAACCTGATTAGCATAGAATTAAACAATGGGCGCACCTTCAAAATGGTATATAGGGAGCAAATTGAACATTTCGTTCTAGTCGCGAAACCTCTCTTTGACATTTGGTATCTGAAATATAGCTAAGAAACATCGACCGATCGATCCTTCTAGCAATTCCTACTCTGTACAGAACAAGAAAAACCAATAAGCATACCCTCCTCTTCCCGGCTTGCTCCTCCTCGTACACGATTCATCGCTCTGCTGAACTCGCTCAGGCATATCCTACTTTTTTGACACTTGACGCCGCGGGGTGGAATTTATTCCTCAAGGGGAATCCTCGAGGAGAGAAAGAAAGGGGCTACCGCTCAGATTCGTGACCTGAACTGGGTAAATCTTACTCGGGAGAAGGGCTACGCTTGACGACATGGCCCAAGACTTCCAGCGACTCGCGCTCCCAACGGTCAAAGTCAGCCTTGGCGAGCTCCTCATATGCGAGCTTCTCGGGCGGTGACATCTGCTTCCACTCGTTGCCAATGGCTTGCATGTTCTCACTCGCCTTGCCGGTGTGGTTGGAGTAGTCGCCGCTGCCAAATCGCGCCTTGACGAAGAGCGCGTAGGCGTTGTGCGGCCTCTTGGGGAGGCGGTCGTCGCGGATGGTCCGCGGGACCTGCTTGCCGGTAAGGTTGCGGAGCCTCGTGCGGGCGCGGTTGGCCTCGGCCACAACCGTAGGCTGGAGCGACTCAACCCACGACTTGTAGGCCGCGTTGTTGGTCAGCTTGTTGGCTTCGGCAGTCTCTTCGAGACGCTATGTATTCCAGGTTTGTCAGTCTCTTGTTTGATATGGATCGAGGGGCTTCTGTTGGAGATTCACAGCAGAAGGAACAAGACAGAGGGTCAGGCCTTACCTGGACTTCGTATGAGGACAGGTTCTTGTAAGACTCGGCAATGCTCTTGACCCGGTCGGTCAACTTCAAGTCTGAGGTGGGCTCCGTAGCAAATTGTTGCTCAGCGTACACCCGGAATGTGTTCGTTGGGAGCTTCTTGGGCTCCTCCAGCAGCGCTGCCGTCTTCAACTCCCGCACCCTGAGCCTCTTCTGTTGCTCGGGCGTGAGCACCACCTTCTTGACCTTCTTCTTGGGCACAGCCTTCTTAACGGCGACCTTCTTCTTCGCCTTGGGCTTCTTAGCAGCGGGCTTCTTGGCCTTGGTGGCAGGCTTCTTCTTGGCGGCCGTGGTCTTCGTCTTGGTCTTAGTGGTTGTCGCCGCCTTGGTGGCAGGCATGCGCGCCGATTGCGAGGTCGAGAAGCCGCGGCAAGACGCTGCGCGCACGACGGCAAGCTGAGTTCGCGGTACTGCCAGCGGGGCGGTGCGGAGGAGCACGCGCTGAGCGGCGGCGCGGCCGATTGCTGTCAACATTGTTGTGATCTTGTGAGTGGGCTGGTGTTTGGTGTTTTGGAGCGAGCCGGGAGATGTTTAGTGGTGGTGGTCGATTGCGATAGGGCAATCCGGAAGGGGCTGGATAGGGCGAGTCGAGTGCGAGCGGTATTGAGGCTAGGATCAGGCCAATCGTGGGAGTCGGGGGAGTCGGGGTGTGTTTTCGACACCACAATTGCCGTCCGTGGTATTGACGGAATGACGAGGGACTGTGAGCAATGCGACTGAACTTGGTCGACCTCCTTGTTTGTTTGACCATCCACCCCTGGAGCTCTGATGTACTGAGTACCAAGATATTCCCATTAAAGGGTGCAAAACAGAGTACCCAGTACGCCACCTTCAATCACCCACCACAACAGTTCCAAGCTGACCATTTTTGGTAAGCCCACCCAAACTTGCGGCCCCGTTTGTCAGGCACCAGAGCCTTGACGCAGTAGCTCTAGCGGCGGCGGGAGCAGCAGCAGGAGCAACTGGCCTGTCAGCCAGTCAGCCAGCCAGCCAGCCAGGCGGCCTGCAGAGGCACCCACGGGACGCGAAGCTCACCCTGGACAAGCTTCAATCAACTTCACATACCGAACCATCACCAAACCTACCCACGAACTTGCAACAAACACGAAGCCTATCCTCCTTTCCGACCACCTTTTCATCATCTTGATCTCCAAACTACACAAAATCCAGCCACCATGGATCACAGACCGCAAGCTTGGGGCCGTGTACGCAATCCCCAGTCTCCCCCCTCCCCTCCTTCCCGGGAATCTCAGCCTCGCATTGTAGACTAACAAGCCGGAACCCCTCCTCATAGCCTAGAGACGACGTCTACGGAGCCTACGATGGCTCGTACATGAACACCAATGGTCCCAACCAAGCGACACAGGCCCCCATCGTCACGGGTACATCAGTCATTGCCATCAAGTTCAGCGAAGGTGTCGTCATCGCCGCCGACAACCTGGGTACGTCTTTGTCTTTACTCGCCCTTCAATGCCGTCTTATGCTGTCATCATACTGTTCCAATAATGAAAGCTGACAATTCTTCTATCATGTAGCATCCTACGGCTCCCTCGCCCGTTTCACCGATGTCAAGCGTCTCCGCACCTTCGCCAACTCCACAGTCGTGGGCTTCGGCGGCGACGTCTCCGACATGCAATACCTCGACCGCCATCTCTCAAGCCTCGACATTGAGGAGTCCTACGACCTGGCCAACGACGCCCCCGCCCGGCTCAATGCCGCGAACCTTCACAAGTACCTCTCCAAGCTCCTCTACAAGCGCCGCTCCGACTTCGACCCCCTCTGGAACCACCTCCTCGTCGCCGGCCTCGACGACAACAACAAGCCCTTCCTCGCCGCCGCCGACCTGCTCGGCACCACCTTCACCTCTCCCTCCTTGGCAACGGGTTTCGGCTCAGCCCTCGCCCAACCCATCATGCGTCGCTACGCCCCCGATGAGGAGACCGCCGCTAAGCTCTCCAAGGAGCAGGCCGTCGACGTGATTAAGGAGTGTATGAAGGTTCTCTTCTACCGTGACGCTCGCAGCTCGGATTCCTACTCGATTGCTGTAGTAACCAAGGATGGAGTCGACTTGAAGGAGAGTGAGAAGCTTGAGAAGCAGAGCTGGAAGTTTGCGGAACGGATCCGCGGCTACGGTACGCAGGTGAACTAAGGGGAAGGCACGGACACAAGGATCTTTGGGACATAGAGAGACAGGCAGTGAGAGAATGGGTGGAAATGACATGACAATGACTGGGTATTCGGCATAAGCTCTGGCAGTTCCGTGGGTGGGAATACTCATGAGACGCAAGTAGTAGAAGAGAAGCACGAGCCCTGCAACCCAGGGCCTATCGACATCACGATGAAATCAGGCGTGTGCGAGCAAGCATGTGTAACACCAAATGAAATAGACAATAATGTTCTTCATTGCTTCAGGTTGCCTGACTACGGCATTTAACCTCAAAAAGATACGCTCCTTTATCTTGACCGGCCCAAATCTACCATGCTGGACCATTCCCTCATTTTCACAATACCCAGTAATACATCAGAGGGCTCCGAAGTTGCCATCGCCTTTTTGTGGCCCGCTGTGACATCAAAAGCATCAAGGGCTTATCCTCCCTTTTGGCAACCCAACTCCAAGGGGGCGAATCACCCGACAATAAACCAAACTTCACTCAGGCTATGTGAGCAGTTTACTCGACAGTGACAGACTTGGCCAGGTTACGAGGGAAATCGACGTTGAGTCCCTCCATGACAGCCAGCCAGTAAGCAATCAGCTGCAGAGGAACGACGTTGAGGATACCCTGGAGGGCATCGACCGTCTTGGGGATCTCAATCTTCTCAGCCTCGCTGGTCTTGAACTCCTCGTCACCAGGGTTGCAGATGACAATGGGCTTTCCGCTGCGAGCAATGACTATCCAATTTGTTAGCAAATTACCAAGCTTAACGTTGGCTGATATTCTAGACTTACCTTGCTGGTAGGCGTTGAGCGACTTCTTGAAGAGATCATCACGGGTGAGGATCATGATGATTGGCAAGTTCTCGTCAACGAGAGCAAGAACACCGTGCTTCAGCTCACCGGACATGACAGCCTCGCAGTGAAGGTAGGAAATTTCCTTGATCTTCAGGGCACCCTCAAGGGCGGTAGAGAACTGGGCACCACGACCGAGGAGCAGAAGGGACTTCTGGTTCTGGAAAGTCTTGGAGCAGAGCTCCTTAATGGACTGGTCCTGGGTGAGGATATCCTTGATCTGCTCAGGGATCTTGGCGAGACCCTCCATGATCTCCTCGCGACGCTTCTGCTTGGATGCGCGGTCCTCACTAAGGGAGAGGGCGAACATGACCATGGCAATGAACTGGGAGGTGTAGGCCTTGGTAGAGGCAACACCGATTTCGGGACCGGCGTTGACGTGGACACCGCAGTGGGTGAGCAGGGAGATGGAGGAACCGACGACGTTGACGATACCGACGGTCAGGGCACCGCGCTCCAAGCAGTAGCGGAGAGCCATGAGAGAGTCGGCAGTCTCACCAGACTGGGAGACGAAGACGCAGGTGTCGTCACGGAAGACGGGCGCCTGTCTGTCGAGGAAATCGGAAGCCAGCTCAACGGCGATGGGGATCTCGGCCAGCTCTTCGAACACGCCGCGAACGGCCATGCATGAGTGATAACTGGTACCGCATGCAATGAAGATAATTCTGCGGCAGCGGCGGATGGTAGAAATGTAGGAGCGGAGACCACCAAGGGTGACAGTCTTGTTGGCGGCATCGAGACGACCTCTCATGGTGTTGACGACGGACTCGGGCTGCTCGAAAATTTCCTTTTGCATGAAGTGATCGAACTTGCCCTTCATAATCTCCTGAAGCTCAAGCTCCAGGGTCTGGATGGTGCGCACATTGGAGCTGCCGTCCGCCTTCTTAAGACGGTGAATGTTCAGCGAGCCCTCGTGAATGTGAGCGATGTCATCGTCCTCAAGGTACATGACCTTCTTGGTGTGCTCGACAATGGCAGACGGGTCAGACGAGAGGAAGAACTCGGTGGGCATGGGCATGCCGTCGTCGGTCATGAAAGCGCGCGACTGCGAGCGGTGCAGAAGCGACTTGTCGGGGGCACCCAGCAGAGTGTTGGGGTTCAAGAAGTTGTCCTGCTGCTTCTTGAGGGCAACGTTCTGAGAGGCAGCCTCGGCAGAGAGGGCACCCTCCTCGGAGTACTCGACATCGACGAAGTCGACCTTCATGCGCTTCTGTGTCTTGACACCAATGACAAGAGGAGAACCCTTGCGGGCAGCGATGACCTCATGGGGGTAGTGAACGGACTTGATCAAAAGTCCGTAGGCGCCCTCGAGCTCGTTGATGACAGCCTTGGCGAGGTCGGTGAAGCCAATATCGGGGTGCTGGTCGTACAGGTACTTGGCGAGCTTAGCAATGCATTCGGTGTCGGTTTCGGTCTCGAACTTGAAGCCCTTGGCGCTCAAGAGGGTCTTGAGCTCCTTGTAGTTGGTGATGATACCATTGTGGACGACGGTGAACTCCCAGGTAGGGTCAGATCTAGGAGATGGGAAGTCATGTCAGCTACTTGAGATTTTGATGACAGGGAAGCATTCAAAGGGGAAAGTTTGCTGTTGTTTTTGCGGGTGTGCAAACGTACCTGTGGGGGTGGCAGTTCAGACGAGACGGGGGGCCGTGGGTAGCCCAGCGAGTGTGGGCGATACCGGCATGTGAGTCGAAATACTTGGTCTCGTCGACCTTGGACTCGGCGATGAGCTCCTTGAGCTTGGCGACCTTGCCAACCTCCTTGAAGGCGAAGACCTCATTCTTCTTGTCACCGTCGACAGCAAGACCGGCCGAGTCGTATCCACGGTACTCGAGACGGGAGAGACCTGTTGGAAGCAGAGGCCCGTTAGCAAAACAGCTCTCGAGATAAGGTGGAGCTATGTGGCTCCAATTGGAGGTATTCAGGAGGAGGCGGTGTACTCACCGTTCACCAAAGTGTCGAGGATGAACTTGCGGTCCTTCTCCACCAGGTAGTTGACGTAGCCGAAAATGCCACTATTGGGAGAGAGGTGCACGTCAGCTTACTGCCTGCTTACTGTGCTACCAATTGCCTTTGTGGCTGTCGGCGCTCCGACCCCTTTTTTCAGCTGGCAGAAGCTGGATGGAGGGAAGGGGAGGATGCCGGCAAGCTTTCAGGAGAGCGGGGAGCGGAATTGGGGGGACATACCACATGTTGATTCAACGCAATCGAAGACCCTGACAAGAAACGTAAAAGACCAATTAACAAAAAGAGGCGGAGACTCGGGTGGTAGAGGCGGCGGCGAAGGGTATCAAGAAGAGCGAGAGAGATGAATAGTTGGATCAAGAGAGAATGAGTAGGGTAGAGCAAGATGCAGGAGGCGGGAGCTGAGCAGCTTTATGTGCAGCTGGTTCAACTGGCTGGAGAGCAATGGGAGGGGAGAGTGTATTGTGTACGTGGAGAGAATACGCAGTAGCGCCCAGAGGCGTGGAGGGGGGCGGTGGGCGGGGTGTGGCAGGGGCGTGCTCGTATTGAGGATGACCGAGAGGGCGCGGCGCGGCACGGGTTGAGGGTGAGGGTGAGGACCAAAGATGACGGAAGGATGGGGGTGAGTGGGCAGGGCCAGGTACACTATGTGGTGGTATTCGTTCTTGTTATGGACGATGATGTCTTGCTATTGCCCAGAGAAAGCCAGGGAAGGAAACAAGGCTGTAAGAAACAAGCGCGCAATGATTTGCTGAAGTGTTGCTTTGAGTGTACTGACTGTTTACTTGCTGTTTGGTAGGCAATGCCTTCATCACAGGATAGCAAGCAGGCAAGTTTGGATAGTGTGTACGGATACCTATAATTCACCTGATACATCAGCAGAAGACTTCAGTCTCTGAGAGCAGTGAATGAGGCCAGATGCTTTGAGAGACGGTCATGTTTGTTTATTGAGCTAGTTGTCTTGCCCGTTTTCTTTTTTAGCTGTAGAAGTTGGCAGGAAGCAGCGTCTCGTTGTCGTTTTCGCTTGCTGGATATCATGTCTAAGTCATTGATTCGAGTGCCTCCAGGAAAGTCCAGTAGACTCTTTGCTGGGTCGGTTTACAAATGATGATGGGTAAGGCAGTTCTCGAGTCACCGAGTCGGAGGTGTCTAACACTTTTGCAGCTGGGATGGCATATGCCAGGACTCGGAGCAGACAGGCGCTAGGGCAACGGAATGGAGAATGGATCTAGATTTCGACGGAGCAGAAATACCTACCTACTCTGTGTACTCTGTAGACTGCAGAGAGACAGACATAGACCTATCCGTACCGGTATCCGTAATCCGCACTTCTTTGCAGTTCGATGTCTGGGGCGACCCGGTCAGAGTTGGGAAAGACAGACGTGCTCAGCCAGTGGAAGAGCCGCGAATGCAGCGAGTGAGGGGCAGCAGGTTTCTGGAGACTGGAAGGGCCCCCACCTCACCGGCAACAGCAAAGGAGCTGCAGCTTCTGGCACCACTTGCCTGCAGCAACACACATCGCGATATTCCTTGGAACCTTGACTTAACCACACATCTTGAAGAACATTTCTAGCCCCATCCCGGCGAAATCCGTTGTTTCTTGTGTGCCTGAGCAGACTGCAGACAAGGAAGAATACCTACAGCCCAACGTCTGACATGTTGTCTGTGCTGCATCATTGACTGGTCCGTCGTTTTCTGTGCCATCCCACAACCTCTTGCTCCCATTTCATCCAGAGACAGACACTATTTCAGACTATCCGTACGGTACCTGGACGCGGCCGCAGGCGCAGTGCAGGAATGCCACCCACCGCTCCCATCCCTCACCTCCTCCAGGCTCTCCCAGTGGGTTCCTCTTGGGTTCCTCCTCCCGTCCTCCTCAAGCCCCCCCCCTCCTTTCGTGGACTGTGGCGCCATTCCCTGGCTGAGCCATTCGGCTGCTACACTAGCTCCAAAGATCGCCCTCGGTACGTACCGCGATAACATCGTGGGCTTTAGAAAAGACTTGCTTCTTCATTTCAACTGCTGTTACGGATAAAGTACGACCAATACTGTTGGCCAAATGGTTCACAGTAATATCTCCATAGCACTTACTTGCAAGTACGGAGTCCTGGATAATACCATGTGTGCTATGCGCATTCACCTTTCTCGCTTGAGGAATTCTACAGATAATCAGCCAACCAACACTTGATTGAGCACGATTTGGCATCCATCTGACTCCGATGCTGCTCTCGCCGCTTCCATTCCAATCCAGCCGCTAGAAAGGCACGATTTCCGCAAGCTGCATTTGTAACGCTAAAGCCTTCCGAAATGGTCAGCTTGTGATGAAGCCCGCACCAAGCAGGCACCAAGCAGGCACCGAGTTAGGAAAGCTGCTGCCATCAACTTCTGCTGTAAAGCCTCACCCGCCTTGCCATCCATCGAGTTTCAACACACCTCTTTCTCTGCCACAGCCCGTACCTTTCTTTACCAGCGCGTCTTTCCTATGGACTATGGACTACTATGTACGAAGTAGCTACGGGAACTTAACTTGACCCGAGCTCCCCCACTCTCCCACAATACATGCACACGCATGGCATGGCAGGTACGGTGTACGGAGTACTTCGTACCTATCCGAGCACGCGCCTCCTGAAGTGCTCATCCCATGTGCCCCCGAACCCGCCAACACCAAGATCTGATTCAGTAACCGCCTTATCCCAACAACATCTCGTCATTAATTGGGAATCACAATTCTACCAAGCAAATCAACAACTGCACGTAATGTGTACTAATAGTCAGGTACACAAGAGATCAAACATGACAACTCGCTACCTTAGTTGTCTAATGTCTGCGATACGCTCCGTCCACCCGATTTGTCGGTTTGATTATTTCTTGGTGTTGCGTCAAAGACGTCCCCTATTATCGGGCATCGGTGCGACGGCTACCTACGTTCGTCATGCCCTGTCCCACCCTCCAACGTTTTTTTGAGGATTCCATCACCGACATCATCGCCTTTTTTACCCCTTCTTTTCGTATTACCTGGCTCCGACGTGCCCCAGTCCCCAATCATCTGGGTGCGGACACCCCTTGGTTGTCAAGCGCTAGAAAGAATCCAGCGGGGATCGTCGCCAATGTGACACCAAGCGACAAGAATTCCCAAGCTCGGGTCCCCTGGTGTCCAACTCTTGCTGCTTGGCTCCGTTGCTGGTTGCACCCATGAAGCATGGAGGGGCTGCACAGGGGAGGAAGGGAGTGGGGCCTCCAGGTACGAAAAGAAGCGGACGAGAAGGGGAAAAAAACAGAAGAGAAGACAACGCACTAAGAAGAGGTACAGCCTCAATTGCCATCGTGAGAACGGGCCACAAAAGGGGCGGCTTGTCGTCCACTCCGTATACCAGTCGCCAAAAATAACATCTCGCACCGAGGAGAGAACCCTGCTAGACCGGCCTCTCCTGCAAATCACCATCTGGCAACTTTTCCATGCCACCTCCCATCTCGCCGCCCCAGCTTGACCCAGATCTTCTCGAATCGGTCGCGAGTCCACCCAGCCGAGGCAAACCCTGAAGTTTTGAGCCAAGCCCGGACACGTCGAGCGCGCCTGTTTAGTATCATACAGCCGCTCGTTGCGCGCTATCCAGATCTTTCTGATATCGATTTCGTGCTACACATAATCCACGTTCCACGGTCCCTGGAATCAGCAAATAGGCCGAATGGAAGACCGGTACGGCCCACACAGAAACCATGCATCGCACAACTGTATGAGGTACCTCGCCATGGCTTCAGTGTTGCTCAATCCGAAGAAAAGCGAACGCCGTACCCACCAACCCAGATTCAAACAAAGTCCAACACCTCATGCGTGGATGCGTTCATATCAGACGGCCGCCGGGGTACTCGAGACGTCGCCTGCAGAGCATGCCCCGGTTGCAGTCGCTCATCTCCAGTCTTACGGCAATCTTCCCCTCGAAAACATGTGGCTAAGCTTTGTCTCTATTCGTTGCCGTGCGAGATCACCCAGCACATAGAGGTGGTCTCAGCTAGAGCCCCGCCATCCGCTTGCAGCAGCTTCAACAGCCTCCTTTGCACGGCATGGCGGATTCGTCGAATCACAAGTTCAGGACCAGACCTTCGATCCTCCCGGGCTTACAATGTGCGACCTCATTCCCCACCCGTTTTCTTCTCGTCAGACAGGATTGTAAGCATGTGCTTCCGTCGTCTGCCTGCGGTGTAAGCTGTTAGCGAAGGAACAGAAAGACTCGACTAAGAAGCACAACCCGCTGTAGCTTCGCTTACACCAAGCCATGTCGATGAGCAGTACCTAAATGCACCCCCTGAGCTATCTGTGGCTTGGACCACAAAGGGTACACCCCCCGTTCCTTTCTCCCCAGCCCTACGCTTACTCGGGGGCCTGCTGTAGATATGAAGGCCCGTGTCGAACTCGACATTGGTGACTGGCCTAACACGGCATCCTCGCCGTGCGCCGAGGTGGATGAGTAAACGGAGGCCTTCTGCCAGCGAGTAGCGCTCTCGAGTACAGACACACTATTGTTTGTTGAGCAGTTCAATAAGATGGCACTCTGGCACGTGGCGCCGCCGCGCCGGACCACACCCCGTACCCAGCCCCCCAGCTCAGTCGAGGCTGTGCAATTATCAATAGCTTCAAAAATGGAGCCTCACAGCTACGGGCTACCCTAGACTCGGGCCCCCCAAAAATACCTACCTACCTACCAGGGAACATTCGAAGGGCGCAGAGATAAGAAAACTCACCATGGCCATGCATTCTTCATGATATTTCTTGATACAAACGCCAAAGCGCTTCGTATAGGTCCTGTTGCGCGGTCATGGAATGCAAGCTGATCATACGGGCTAATATACATCCGTACAATGTCGCCGTCAACGATGGACATTACTGCTTGTGCATGCGCTTGTTTCATCTTTGGGATCCCGTAGCTGCTTCTATTCCACACCGTACGTCTCTATGATCCCATGGCAAACAACCCCAAACCTGGACTCGGGTATTGTACACTGTTTAACACATTAAAAGACCCTCTAAACGGCCGAGAACCGACGATGCTCGATCCAGCCGCCCCTTTCGATGTCTTTCCTTTGCTCCTCCGCGCCTCATCCCGTGAATCATCATGTCGCCTCCTCTCTGACCTTACAACTTCTGGTACTCTAGCTTGCCCTCCAGCTTCTTCGACTCGGCGACCTTGCGTACTGCCTTGTTGAAGTCGTCCTGGTTGATTGCGTCGCGGTAATCCTTGATGGCAAACAGACCACTGGGCATTACTAGTTAGCTTCGGGTATTACGGGTGCTGTCAAAATGTGCAGTCACTTACGCTTCTGTCACGACGTTTCTCAAATCCGCACCATTAAGACCATCGCTCATCTTCACCACGCTCTCGAAGTCAATCTCACCCTCCGTCACCACGCCCTGGGCATGGATCTTGAGAATCTCCAAACGGCCGACCTCGTTCGGCAGGGCAATCTCAATCTTGCGGTCGAGACGTCCCGCACGAAGCAGCGCGGGATCGAGGGTATCAGGTCTGTTCGTGGCCATGATGATTTTGGTCTTTCCGAGGTAGTCGAAACCGTCCAGCTGGTTGAGCAACTCCATCAACGTTCTCTGGATCTCACGATCCGCACTGGTTCCCTCAGAGAATCTGCGTCCACCAATGGCGTCGATCTCGTCCATGAAGATAATGCAGGGCTCGTGCTCCTTGGCGTAGCCGAACATCTCGCGAATCAGGCGGGCAGACTCTCCGATGTACTTGTCGACAATTGCTGAAGAAACAACTGTTTGACCTCATTAGCACACTTCCTTTTACCGTCTTCCACCACTCCCCACGGAGTAGACCTACCCTTGAGAAAGTTGGTCTCGAGACTGCTTGCCACGGCACGTGCAAGCAACGTCTTTCCCGTACCAGGAGGTCCGTAAAGCAAAACACCCTTGGGCGGCTTGATGCCCACACGCAGGAAGAGCTCGGGGTTCTTGAGCGGCAGCTCAATGACCTCGCGGAGCTCGCGAATCTGGTCGTTCAGTCCACCGATACCAGCGAAGCTGACTTGACCGGGGTCTTCCAGTGACATGTTGTAGACGAGGGGGTCGACTTCTCGGGGAAGCATACGCATGATCGTGAGTGTCGTCATATCGAGTGCCACGCGCGTGCCTTGCTTGAGCTTGACCTTGTCAACCTTTGATCTGCATCCGACGACATATCTGGGACCGGAGGAAGCCTTGACGATGACTATTCGTGAATGGGAACGTTGATTAGCAAAAGTTGAGTCCCAATCATTCGCGTCTCTATCTTGGCGGTAATCGTGGTAGGTAGTGGTGGTGGGGCGGGGACGGTGTCCATCGGAGGCGGAAAGCGGGATGGGGATGCCTTCACTTACATCTTTCGTCATCGAGCTGCTTAAGGACCTCGCCGATAATCTGACCGACACTCTGCAACGCCTTAATGTTGTCTTCGGTTCTGTCAAACTCCCGCTGCAAATCCTTGATCTCGAGCCGCAGGGACTTGAGCTTAGCTTCCCACTCCCGGGATTCGAGCAGCTTGGCCCGGTACGAGTCGAGAGCCTTCTGGCGTTCCTCGTCGGAAGACATCTCTGATTGTGGGAAGTTGAAGAGGAAAGGGCTACTGCCTTGATCTCGTCGAGGAAATGGAATGACTGCGGTTCGGAAGAGGGTGCTGTGGCGGTGGGTGATCGCGTTCGGGTTTCGAGTTTCGAAGGTTGGGTCGGTTGGTGGATGGGAGTGGGTGAGGTAGCTCGTGTGGTAATCAGATCGTTGTTTTCGGAGGTTGTGGTGTCGACGTACGTCCCACTGCAGCCTTCTACCTCAAAGGCAAGCACGGCTCAGCTCCGACTAGCGCCCTATCCCTGTGGCCAGGGTTGGAAAAAATACTACTAGTATTTAGTATTAGTCTAGTCTAGTACTAGTAAGTCTAGTATTAGTCCACCCTTTAAAATACTAGACTAGTATTAGTATAGCTAGTACTAGACTAGACTAGTATTAGTATACTAATAGTATACTAATTAGTATAAAACATACTATTTATAGTAATTTTATTACTATTTTTAGAAATTTAAATATTAATCTTTATTAATTCTAAATTTTTTTAAAAAAATATAATAAAAAATATTTCTATAGTAAATATAAGTAAAACTATTTAATTAGAAAATATCTATAGTTTGATTTTGAAATTCCTAAAAACTTAATAAAAACTAATATTTTAAGAGTATTCTATTTAAATAATAATATTTTAGCTTTTAAAACTATATAAAAGAAGCTTTTAATAGTTTTATTTTAATATATATTAATATTTATAATTAATTATTAATTATAAATTTATAAATAATTTTTTTAATCTATACTAATTAGTATACTAATACTAGTCTAGTATAGTATTAGTCCAGGCCGTACTAGACTAGTCTAGTATTAGTCCAGGGCGTACTAGACTAGCCTAGTATTAGTCCTGGCCATACTAGACTAGACTAGACTAATTTCCAACCCTGCCTGTGGCCACCGAAGCTCTGCCACTTTGCTCTGATTGGTTGTAGTCTCGGCTCCGGGAAATACCAGCTCCCGGTCAATTCTCAGCTCCTGCCATCGTCAAGGAACATGACGGCTTCAGCTTGAAGTGCTGTGCATTGATGGGAAGTATTAGGAAAGCCCACTTCATCAGTAGCCTATCACTGTGGCTTCGATGGTCTGATGAATCGGCCCTCTTTTGAACGCGGCCTCAAATCTCTATCAATGCTGGACTATGAGAGATGGAATGAGTTCAGGTGGGCAACATTAATACGGGAGCTTCAATTTGAATAGCTTTCCCGAGTGAAAAGCACATTAATGACTACTCAATCCTCCCTCTCGTCAGGAGAACCGCAAAATATGTTATACATCCAGCAAATCGGGTACCGAAATCTCAAGCATTCAGAAATCGAGGCAGGTTCAAAAGCGCAGTGGTCGTAGATCAATATCAATTGGGAGGGACAAGCCTCCAGTAAAGCTATGTACTAAGAATGGTAGGAAACAACTGTCCAACGCCCGAATTTCCTATCTCGCGTCCATTGATGGACCATCAATTTTCCACACTTCAATCTCCTGAAATCTCCGTAATCTAGATGGTATTGCGAGATAACATGCAAACCGTCGAGTGCGTGTGTAGTGCATAGATCCGAAGCCTCCTAGGGGGTAAACGCAACAAATGAAAACCAAATTCCACCACAGAACTCCAGAAAAGACGGGTATTTGGGTGCGTAAATCATAACGACAGCAGCCTAGGACAAGCAAATGCTTAGCCCAAAAGTTCAGAAGTGATCTCCTCGCGGACCTTTCGGCTCCAATCCATGATGGCCTTCTCAAAGTTAACCCAGACTTCGGGAGAATTATTGTAAACAATACCCAAGGCGTCCACCTTGAGTAGCACTTCCCAGCGCAGCTCTGCTGCTTTGGCCCAGTATCTGATATTGTCTGCTGACCGATACGGCTTGTCTGTGTCGGTATGGAATGTAGTAATCAAGCCGAATCGCCGTTTTGACCTCTTCACCGCCGCATTGTGCAGTTCAATTAGGTGAATGCCATTCTGCAAACTGATGAGATAAGGCGTCGGACACTCGCTTGCGTGAGCTGCAGGCGTGTAGTCTGGTAGCGGGTCGGCCTGAGGGACGAGAGAAGCCATGAAAGCTAATTCTCTTTCCACTTCTTTGCCAGCCCAGTCACCCTGCAGCCATGTCCAAGAGCTTCGCTCCGCCTTTTCTGCCTCAATCATCTCCTCTTCAATCTTCAACATGCTGAAAAGTCCGGAAATCCACGATTCGAGGATGCGCAGCTCCTCGTCTTTCATTCCGCCTGACCATTGTCGAGTTGCCATCTGCTTCAAGGTCTCCATGACAGAGAGCAGTTCTGTGCGGATTTCCTTTTCAGATTTGATGGCGTCCAGTCGCTCGGGGACTTCATGCGCTGTGTAATAGTTCCTGGCAGCTCGAATGGCCAGTGTCATGACATCAAGAATGTGCATGCCCTGAACCTCGTGCCAGCCTGTTGACGTTTTCTTGGGAGGCTCGCTTTGTCCTCTTGTAGGAATCTCCGGCAGTTCCGGTACAGGGCTGCTATCTCTATGCTTTTTTGCGTGTCTCAAGGCCTGAGCCGCCTTCTCGAGAGATCCTGTCAAGTCCGCCTTGAGCTCTTCGATCGTAGGAGGCTTCGGCACCGGCTTGTTTCTGTGAATGTAAGTGCTCGCGGTCGGAGGCAGAACATCCGGGTCCTCTTCGAAATCGTCAGAGTAGTAGTGGTCATCGGTAGGCGATTCCACCATGGGTCCTGCGCCAAAAGGTTGAGAGCCTAGTTCTGGGCTGTTCCCCCCCGAATCAACAATTCCTGGCGAGTTCGAGCTGGAGCTGCTGACAGAGGAGAGATCCAGTCCTCCTTTGGCTTTGTTCTTTCTTGCTAGCTGAGCACCCTTGCCGTCGAGAAGACCGGTCCGCGCAAAATAATACTGTAGGTGGGCGATGCTTCCCAGGCTGAGTACGCTTTCTCTGTGACGAGCACTCGCAGCGAAGTCGGTGCCCTGCGGCCGAACAAAGCCTCGGCGGCGACTAGAAGAGCGGCCAACTTCCACGCTGCTGCAAGTGGACTGTCGAGACGATGCGAAGCTGATATCGGAGCGGCGGCTGTAGTTTCCAGAGGACTGTCTGGAGTAGGTGCTGCCTCGGAAGCTTCCCAGAGATTCGCGAGAGTTGCCCTCGGTGGCGGATCCGTGGGAGACGGAAGAAGCAGTCGAGACGCAGCGAGAAAGCTCGGGGCAAGCGCCAATAGCTGGGGTTGGAGATGCATCTGATGATGGGGAGTCGCATCGGAACGACGGCGTCTCTTCGTTTGCCGTGGCCATTATTTCGGTTATGCTGAGAAAGTCGAATGCTCTGAAGCTCGAGAGCCTGGTTGGATTATGTGTAAGCTCTTGGGCGGGTACGTGATATTGTGGAGGGTGCGGTAGCGGTCGAGCAGATGATGTCGACGTCTCGTCTCAGCTAGGTATCGGCGGTGGTCTCAAAGCTATGCGATAGACAACGTGAGGGGGTACGATGACCAATGTGGCAACGATTCAAGGTATGTACAGGTCGGAGAGGTCTATTTGCAAATGAAACGGTCGTGTAAAGGAAACTGGGTGCACAGCAGCGTCCAGAGGGTCGGCAAGCAAGACGGTTGACGCTCGCGAAGAAACGTGTGCTGGTGGTTCGAGGGACGTACGGCGAATTATTTGGTCAGGTGAAAGCCAAAAAAGAATGAAGCGAGCGAGTGGTGATTAGACGGACGGTCCCCAGAATGAACGAAGCGGACGGAGAAAGTTTCTTGGACTAATAACCCCGGACGGTAAACACTGGCTAGGCAGGGTAGGTTGGCAACGGTAGGGCAAAAGAAAGCTAAGTCTCGTCTCTTCAAGGCTCGTCGTGGGCTAGGAACGGTCGAGGGTAAGGTGTGCCTGCGTGACTGCGTGCTGTGACAAGACGCGACTCTCCGGTGTCAGGGGTCTGTGTTGAGCTTGGCCACAACGTAAGGCACTGGCAAGGTACCTAGGTGAAAGAAAGAGTCCGGTGCGGTGTGTGACGGGAGTGTGTGGTCGCCTGGCGGTCTCTGGCACCAAGATCCTCGTCCCGGTTGCGTCAGTGGAGATGTGTGGAAAGGCCGAGGGCGAATCTCTGACGAGGGAAAGTCTCCAGCGGGCAAATTGGGGGTCCAATCGAGTGGCTCGCGACTTGCCAGGAAGGGACGGTTTAGATTGAACGTCGCGTCTTCTCCGAAGGTGGGGTGCGTCGAGGGTGCCTGCTGCGTGCAAAGGAAAGGAGAGGGGAAGGTGGGACGTAGGATGCGGGACGCGGGACCTTGGAGCTTGCTGCTTCAAGTGTGAGCCTGGAGGCTGGAGCTGGAGGGATACGATGGAACGTGTGAAACGGAAGCCGTTATCTTCGATTGTGTGTGATTGCCTTTTTTTCTTTTCGGAATTCGGAGAGATATTACAAAACGGCTGGTTGGCTCTTCTCGAGTTCAGAAAGAAACGCAGCACCTCGGACAGGTACGACCGTATGGCCTACTATAAAGAATAACGGAACAAGTTGGTTTCCACAACTGGACCTGAAGGTGGGTAGCTAGCGTAGGTACCCGAAAGAACGATTGGTATTATCAGCAGCTTCTCCAACTTCATGTGTTCCTCACTAAGGTACATACACTAGGGCAGAGGGGATCGCCGACTACTTATTCCGCCACAAACTCGTCAGGATGCGCTAAGTGCGAAGCAAATGACCGCTGAATCTCAGCCAGACATTCTCAAAGGGAACTCATAAACATCGACTCAGCAACGCGCAAATGGCCAAGCTGCGTAAAGATGCCCAGAACGAGCTCAACCTTTATCCTAACTATATGATAAAGCTACCCTAGGCATGAGAAACATCAGCCCTCCTGCATCCCAAGCTGTCGTTGAGCTCATTATCCCATCCCTCTACCTTGTTGCAAGTCGAATTCCCGTGGTGATGACATTTTCAGGGGCACAAATCATAAAAAATGTCCAGCTGGCAGCAGCTCGTCCGGCCAACAAAGCACAAGTGGAT